CCCCCCCCCCCGCACCATTTCCACCCTTTCTCCCTCCCTGCCTATTCTGTCAGGCAATAGGCTGTAAAATAGTTATCCAGCCCAGCAGACAGGCAAGCGCCGTTTGAAAGTAATTTTTGCCCCCGGCGTTCCGCCCGGGGCCAAGCAAGCGTGCTCTCTAACTGATCAACCTGGATATTTCATTATTCATTAATTTACTGTTTAACCAAATCCCACTCATTATCAGAGGCAACGCTTGGCAGAGCCCAGCGAACAGTAGCAGTTGGTGTCAGGCATGGAGAATTGGCCCATTTGATCCTGAGCTGTTTTATTATTCAGCGCCACCGACTGAGAAAAAGGCCCATGAATAATAAAGAGCCAAAGCGCGTTTGAACTGAGAAGCATGACGCGGGCCGGCCAAACAGCACTTCGGAAGTGAAAGGCAAGCTGGCCTGGCTGGCGCTGGGGATCTCCCCAGCTGTGGATGCCAGAAAAAGGCGCTGGGTTCTGGCAAAAGCAAGTCTCCCGAAGTGCCTTGCCACCCCCAACTCTTCTATTTCTTATTATTCCTCAACAGCTACTGTTCGGGTTCCCTTCCTGTCTGTTTTAAGGACCCAGCCATTGCAAGCAGTACTATATACTGTATTATATATTATACAGTATTACCCAATGGCTACGTGACTACAAATAGAGCCCAAATGGAATAATAATACAAATAGAATCCAGCTATTACTGATGCTACTTTTATCCTTCCATCTCATGTGGCAATTCCTGCTCCAAATCGAACTACTTTACAATTAACTTCTATAGTGGACTATCATCCTGTTATTACTTGCATAACGTCTTGTTTCTCATTCATCGAACCCCTGTGAGGCAGTAGCAGTGATTCACTATTAAACTATTAAGGCAAAATTTATTTCTAATGCTTTTGTTGGCTTCATGTCAGCAATCCTGAGATAATGAAAGTTGTAGTCAAAATTACATGGAGGTCCAGGTAGGGACTGAGTGATGTAGTGCTAAGAAAGTTAGAACCTCAGCAAGTGATTGTGCCTGGCCTGTTGGCAAGCCAACTCCATTGACCTATTCCCAAAATCACCAAGGGCTGAGCTCAGCTCAACGGGGTCTTTGTTTTTTAAAGAGATTTAGACTAGGACTGAGGAGATGCAGGTTCAATGCCCCACTCAGCCATACAATTCACTGGGTGATGGTAGGCAAGCCACAAGCTCTCAGCCAAACGTAACACCAAACGTTGTTAGGATAAAATATTGGGCGGGGGCAGTGAGGGCAGCGGGGGGG